CACAACATTGACAAAACAACAACAACAGAAACAAAAACATTGACAACACGACAAAAACAATACAACAACAGCAAAACAACAACATTGACAACACAACAACAACAATACAACAACAGCAAAACAGCAACAGAAACAACAACATTGACAACACAACAACAACAAAATCAACAACACTGACAACACAACAACAATACAACAACAGCAAAACAGCAACAGAAACAACAACATTGACAACACAACAACAACAAAATCAACAACACTGACAACACAACAACAATACAACAACAGCAAAGACAACAGCAAAACAACAAAATGACATCATTAACAACACAAGAATAAAAAAAACAACAACACAGAAAACAACAACAAAACATGGACAACAGTAAAACAACCATGACAACAAAACGACAACTGCAAAAGACCACACAAAAACAACAACAAAATAAGAATAACAAAAATAGCAAAACAACAACAACAAAACAATGACAACAACAACAAAAATAAGTAACAATAACAAAAAACAATGAAACAACAACAACAATAAAACAACAAAACAACTACAACACAATAACAAACAACAACTATAACAAAATACTACAGAACAGCAAGAACAATGGCAGCAGCAACAACAATAAAACAACAGCAAAACAACGACAACAACAAAACAACAACAATGAAAATGACAACAACAACAAAGAATAAAACAAAAACAAAGAATAGAACAACAAAAACAAAAACAAAACAACAAGAACAACAACAAAAAAACAACAAAACAACAACAACAACAAAAAACCAATAACCAACAACAACAACTATAACAAAATACTACAAAATAACAATAGCAAAAACAACAAAACATCAACAGCAACAACAACATAGAACAACAACAACAAAAAACCAACAAACAACAACTATAACAAACAACTACAGAACAGCAACAAAAAACAACAACAACAACAAAACAACTATAAGAAAAAACAACAACAAATAATTTGTTCCTAAAATGCAGTTAAATGTAGATGATGTGCAAAATAGATGCCGCACCTGGTTTCCGTGTTCGTCACAGGAATTCTCCGCGTGTTTGGCTACGGTGGACAGGAAGTGCAGTAAGCACTGTAGGGTGTCACTGTTGCAGGCGGGCAGCAGACAGAGGAGCAGCTGAATGATCCTGTGCTGCTCCGACTTTTCTAGAGCTGCAGAAACAACACACAGAGAAACATTGTGGGAGATCATTTCAAATCAATTAAGCTTCCACCATGTTTGTAGTTTGTTTAAACTTTTTCTCCCACAAGTTTGTAGTTCCAATTGAATTCACTTCCAACATGCTATGTATTGAGGGTAATAGGAGTTAGAGTATGGACGGTCCCTTATTCATCATGGTTTGCCACAGTGGAATGAATCACCAACTAGTCCAGCATATGTTTTACATAGCGGATGCCCTTCCAGCTGCAACCCAGCAATAGGAAACACCCATACACTCTCACATTCACACAAACACTATGGCCAATTTAGTTCATCATTTCCCTATAGGGCATGTGTTTCGACTGTGGGGGAAACCAGAGCACGGAGGAAACCCATACAACACTTGGAGAACATGCAAACTCCACACAGAAACACCAACTGACCCAGCTGGGATTCGAACCAATGACCTTTTTGCTGTGCAACCACTGAAACAACATGCTGCCCTGAATTTGAAAACAGTAAATGGTAATAAATGTGTCTTACATGCGCAGCTGATGAATGCGGCGTACAGTTCTCTGGTCAGCAGAGGATCAGGCATATCTCGGAGAAACTCCTTCAGCAGCGCCGCCACATCATGAACACTGTGACGGTCGTCTAAAATCACCTCTGCACCCTGATCAAAGGCCTCGCGCAGCTGCAGGAACACACACACACACACACACACACACACACTTAACCACACAATGCACCAATCTATAGTTTACAGTTAACCCTTGTGTGCTGTTGGGGTGTTTTCATCCACTCTTTGAGTCTTAACTTGGCCACAACTTTCTTTGTGTTTCAGCAAACGGGATCTTTTTTGGTGACAAATCTTATTTTGACACAAATTTTGGGAAAATCCTTTTGAAAAACTCAACAAAACACCCTGGGGAGACTGACTCCTCTTTGGTTATGTTGGTGGCTGTTTTTGCCCCATTGACCTTCTTTATAATCACATTTTTGATTGCAAAGCCAAGTTGGATGCAAAGTTATTTTTATTTACTTTTACTGTAACTTAGGTCTATCATGAGCACGACTTTAGTGATGATGATGATTAATTATAGTATAAATTACTGTGATCATTTGTAATTATAAATGTATAATTACTGACAATATGTTGTGTCCTGTTTTTTTTTTTTACTTGTGATTGTTTACAATATAAAAATAAAATGCATTAGGGTATAAAACTGTATGTATTTTTTTTGCTGTAATTTCACTAATAAAATGAAATACAAATTACAATAAAATAAAATTAAATTTTAATTTAAAGTAAATTAAATTAATTATTTAATTAAAGTAAAAAATAAAATAATAAAACAAAATAAAAAATAAAAAAACAAAATAAAAAAATAAAAAAATAATGAAATTAAATTAAATTAAAAATAAAATAAAAGTTTTAGTAAATTAAAAATTGTAAAACAAAATAAAGTAAAATGAAAAATAAAATAAAATAAAATAAAAAATAAAATGAATAATAAAATAAAATAAAAATGTAAAACAACAAAATAAAATATTTTTTATAAAAATTAAATAAATAAAATAATAAAAGAAAATAAAATAAAAATAAAAATAAAACGAAATAAAATAAAAATAATAAAACAAAAGTTAATTAAATTACATTAAAAATCAAATAAAAATGTAATTAATTTTTTATAAAAACAAAATTAATAAAAAAAATAATAAAATAAAATAAAATGAAGTAAAAAATTATAAAACTAAGTTAAATTAAATAAAAATTAAATAATAATAATAATAATAAAACTAAACAAAATTAAATTTAAAAAAAATTAAATTAAAAATAATAAAAAAATGTATTATTATAAAATAAAAAAATAATTAACTAACACAAAATAAAAAATAAAAATTTAAAAAATAAAATTAAATAAAAACATTATTAAAATAAAGTAAATAAATAAAGTAATAAAACAAAATAAAATAAATAATTTAATAAAATTAAATTTAAATAAAAAATAATAATAAAACAAAATAAAACACTTTTCCTTATTTGGATGAATTTTGTGCTGACAATTCATTGTGTGTTTATAATATTTATGTTGTGTTCATATCACGTACAGTTTTTTTTTTTTTTTTTACTTGTGATTGTTTGCAATATAATAATAAAATGCATTAAAGTATAAATACAGTCCTAAATGATTTATTTAATTTCAGTATCTCTAGAACATTGAGGATTCATTTCTTACCTGCCGAACTCTTTTCTTGGAGCTTCCGACGCGGAAGATTCCCACCGTCTGCAGGCCTTTACAATAGCAAACCAAAAACCAGCTCTGTTACAGCAGGGTCTACATGAAAACAGTCTGAAATCTGTTTAGTCTGAACTCTGAAAACTGTCTGTCTGTCTGTCTGTCTATCTATCTATCTATACATTCATCCGCCCGCTCGTTCGTCCGTCTATGTCTATCTATCCATCCATCTATTGTTCTATCCATTTATCCATCTCTCCATCATTGTATCTATCTATCCATCCATCTCTCCTTCCATCCATCCATCCATCCATCCATCCATTTGTCCGTCCGTCTGGCTGTCTGTCTATATATTTATCTCTTCATCCATTCATTCATCTGTCTGTCTGTCTGTCTGTCTGTCTGTCTATCTATCTATCTATCCATCTATCCAGTACAGACAGTGTAGTACAGTAGTGAACTGACCGTATCTCTGCAGGTGTTGGCAGCAGCAGTCCAGCACGCGCGGCACCTGTCTGTAGATGGGGTTCAGGCTCAGTTTTTCTCCGCTGGTTTTCTTCTTCTTCTTCTTCTTCTCGCTGCTGGGATCCACAGGCATGGAGAGCTGAAGAGCCTCCAGGAGACGAGAGTCACTGTCATCCAGATCAGTGATGCAGTCCACAGACACACCGCCCTACACACACATTGAAGTGCAAAATGAAAAGTCTGAAAAAGTCTGTAGTGTGATCTTGCAGATATATTATTTCTGTTTATTACTGTCACAAAATATAATAATATATGACTGGTCATCTGTAATAATCTTTCCTGACATTATTAGGAGTGTGTGTATGTGTGTGTGTGTGTATGTGTAAGTTGCTGTACCCGTCGTCTGGAGCGCAGCGCCGTCTCTGGTGTTTGTGGTGTGTTGTTGTTGTCAGTGTGTGTTTCTGAGGATGAGCTGAGGGATGAGTTGCTGCTGGACAGATCTCTGCTGGTGTTTCTGCGCGTGTGTGTGTGGAGATGCAGCGGTGAAGACCCTCGCTGCTCTCGCTCCTCCTGCTGCTGCTTCTGCCGACGGTCATTGAAGATCACCTGAGACAGCGGCACACCGAACGCCTGTGGCTCCGACTCTACACACACACACACACGCACACGCACACGCACACGCACACACACGCACACGCACACGCACACGCACACACACACGAACACACACACACACACACACAGTCATGATTTACCTCTGCTTCTCCAACCCACAAATTCCCAAAAGTTCAAGTGTTGAACCTTTTGACCTAAAAAATTGTCCAGCTGGATTTTTTTAGGTTAATATTGCAATAAGATAATTAATAAGTGAGGTAAAATAAAAAAATAATTAATTAAATAAATAAAAAAATAAAAAAATAAAATAAAATATAATAAAATAAAATATAATAAAATAAAACAAGTAAATAAAATAATAAAATTAAATAAATAAAATAATAAAAAATAAAATAAAATAAACAAAAAGCATAAATTAATAAATGTATAAAAATTTTAAAATAATAAAATAAAATAAATAAATTAAATAATAATATTAAATAATAAAATAACATAAATAATTAAATAAAGTAAATAATAGAATTAAATAATTAAATTAAATAATTAAACAAAAAATAGATTTTTTTTTTAAATAACAAAATAAAATTAAATAAAGAGGTGAATTGGGTAGGCTAAATTGTCCATAGTGTGTGTGTGTGGGTTGGGTGTGTGTGGATGTTTTCCAGGGATGGGTTGCGGCTTGAAGGGCATCCGCTGCGTAAAAACATGTGCTTGATGAGCTGGCGGTTCATTCCGCTGTGGCGACCCCAGAGTAATAGATGGACTAAGCCGAAAAGAAAATCAATTAATTAATAAATTAAATTAAGTTAAGTTCAATTAAATTAAATTAACTCCAGCTAAATTCTTCAAATGAAAATTGTCAGGAAACATAACCATTTCATTTCAATCCATTTATTTATTGTCAAATAATTTTAAAATAATATTTATGATAATTTTATGAATATCCATAAACAAATATTTATTTATTTTCCTTCATTTCAGTCGCTTATTTGTCAGGGGTCACCACAGCAGAATGAACCGCCAACTATTCCAGCATAGGTTTTACACAGCGGATGCCCTTCCAGTCAAAACCCAGTACTGAGAAAAATAAATAAATAAATAGACAAATGAATAAATAAATCCTTCCAAATCTATAGATGAGCATGAGATAGTCAAGTGTGATTGTTAATTAGATAAGCTGAAAATGCCTGTCAGTAACGCAGCAGCATTCCTCACTGCTCATCAAAGGCAGAGGTGTTGTTAATGTAAAAGTGTGAATGAATGGCTCTGATCTGCAGCACAAATAAACGCAGCAGCGCCTCAGGAACGTCTGGGCTTGTTTTTGTTATTTGTGGAGGGTTTGAGAGCGCAGCGGGAGCGTCTGCATTCCTGCACACATTACAGCTCAGGCGGATCACTGCTGGAGCACTGCATTCTGGGTCACCGCTATATATCATCACTGCCATACACCCGCTATAGGAGAACTAACCTACAGGCCACATGAACAGAATACTATAGACATTTATAGTAGATACTGTAGTGTTACTGAGCCATACTATAGTAAAGTGCTGGAACAAATCTGTTGTGGTGATTTTATAGTTCCTATTTTAACACAAGAACTTCATTAATTGATCTGTTGTGGTGGTAATTCTGTAGTTGCTATGGTAACACAAGGTACACATTAATTGATCTGTTGTGGTGGTAATTCTGTAGTTGCTATGGTAACACAAGATACACATTAATTAATCTGTTGTGGTGATTATGTAGTTGCTATGGTAACGCAAGAACTTCATTAATTGATCTGTTGTGGTGGTAATTCTGTAGTTGCTATGGTAACGCAAGAACTTTATTAATTGATCTGTTGTGGAGGTAATTCTGTAGTTGCTATGGTAACACAAGATTTACATTAATTAATCTGTTGTGGTGATTATGTAGTTGCTATGGTAACGCAAGAACTTCATTAATTGATCTGTTGTGGTGGTAATTCTGTAGTTGCTATGGTAACACAAGAACCTTATTAATTGATCTGTTGTTGTGGTGGTAATTCTGTAGTTGCTATGGTAACACAAGATCCAAATTAATTCATCTGTTGTGGTATTTAGTTGCTATGGTAACGCAAGAACTTTATTAATTGATCTGTTGTGGAGGTAATTCTGTAGTTGCTATGGTAACACAAGATTTACATTAATTAATCTGTTGTGGTGATTATGTAGTTGCTATGGTAACGCAAGAACTTCATTAATTGATCTGTTGTGGTGGTAATTCTGTAGTTGCTATGGTAACACAAGAACCTTATTAATTGATCTGTTGTTGTGGTGGTAATTCTGTAGTTGCTATGGTAACACAAGATCCAAATTAATTCATCTGTTGTGGTATTTAGTTGCTATGGTAACGCAAGAACTTTATTAATTGATCTGTTGTGGTGGTAATTCTGTAGTTGCTATGGTAACGCAAGAACTTTATTAATTGATCTGTTGTGGAGGTAATTCTGTAGTTGCTATGGTAACACAAGATTTACATTAATTAATCTGTTGTGGTGATTATGTAGTTGCTATGGTAACACAAGAACTTCATTAATTGATCTGTTGTGGTGGTAATTCTGTAGTTGCTATGGTAACACAAGAACCTTATTAATTGATCTGTTGTTGTGGTGGTAATTCTGTAGTTGCTATGGTAACACAAGATCCAAATTAATTCATCTGTTGTGGTATTTAGTTGCTATGGTAACGCAAGAACTTTATTAATTGATCTGTTTTGGAGGTAATTCTGTAGTTGCTATGATAACACAAGATTTACATTAATTGATCTGTTGTGGTGATAATGTAGTTGCTATGGTAATGCAAGAACTTTATTAATTGATCTGGTGTGATTCTATAGTTGACATAGTAACAAAAGAACTATATTAATTGATCTGTTGTGGTGATTAGTTGTTATGGCAACACAACAACTAAATTAATATAAACAAATGACCGAATACTGTTGTTTTCTACAACTATATGCAACATTATACTACAATACACCACTTTTTACTGCAGTAAAACTAAAGTATGCTACAGTATTTATTATAGATTATTAATTCACTGTTACGATCAATTACTACAGTTTTTTTTTCATTGCAATGGTGGAATCTGGCATATTTACTTTTGAACCTATTCCTTTGAACTATTCCGGCATATGTTTTACACGGCAGATGCCCTTCCAGCTAAGGGAATCCACTGCCTAAAAACTTATGTTGGATAAGTTGGCGGTTCATTGCGCTGTGGCAACCCCAGATTAATAAAGGGATTAAGCCGAAAAGAAAATGAATGAATGAATGAATGAATGAATGCCCTTCCAGCTGCAACCCAATATTAGGAAAAACCCATACACACTCACACACACATTCATACACTACGGTCAATTTCGTTAATCAATTCCCCTATAGCGCATGAGCACCCGGAGGAAACTCACGCCACCGTGTAACCCCTAAAAGCCATTGACAGCTAACAAATTCATACCTTTGTCTCTCTTTTCTTTTGATAAGGAATCCAGCTTCCTCCTGAGGGACTTTTTCCGCTTCTGGCCATCTGGAAAACAGGAGAAGCACAAAAAAAAAAAATTTGAACATTGGAAAACATCAGACAATCAAAGAAGCCACACTTCTGGAGGACTCAGAAAACATGTGTGTGTGTGTGTACATGTTTTTGTGACATATTAGGACACAAATCTGTATAATGACATGGGTATGACACAGGTATTACAAAAAGGAGGTGAAATATCATTTCTCAAAATGCTTATAAATCCTACAGAATGAGTTTAATCAGAGATTAAAGCTGCACACAGTCTCCTGTGATGGTTGGGTTTAGGGGTGGGGAGGGGTGAGGGCAATATAATATACAATATAATATAATTTTATATACATATATGGACAGTATAAAATGAATGGAAACCTATGTTATGTCCCCACTTTTCTCAAAAACAAACGTGTGTGTGTGTGTGTGTGTGTGTGTGTGTGTACCTTTAGGGATGGTGATCTGGCATCCTAGGTCGAAGTCTTTGCAGAGTCTGGCGAGCGACACCTCCTGCAGCCGCACTCTCTCCAGCTCTGACAGACTCTGGATGGACACCGACTGCATCAGGAGATTATGAGCAGACGCTTTCCTACAGCTGAAATCTCCCTGAGGACAAAAGAACAACACAGACAAATAAAGCTCACCATCAAATATAAATATATATAAATATACAGCAGACATCAGAATTATTTGCCCTCCAGTGAATTTATTTTCTTCTTCAATTATTTATCAAATGATGTTTAACAGATTCAGGAATTTTCACAGTATTTTCTATAATTAAAAAAAAAAATTGTTTTAAACCCATTTTAAGGTCAATATTATTAGCCCCCCTAAGAAATATTTGTTTTGGATTTTCAACAGACCACACCACTGTTATACAATATCTTGCCTAATTACCCTAACTTTACGCTAATTAACCTAGTTACGCCTTTAAATGTCACTTTAAGCTGAATACTAGTTTCAAAATTCATTCACCGGCCACTTTATTAGGTACACCTTTCCAACCCCTCGTTAATGCAAATTTCTAATCAGCCAATTACATGGCAGCAACTCAATGCATTTAGGCATGTAGACATGGTCAAGACCATCTGCTGCAGTTCACAGCGAGCATCAGAATGGTGGAAGAAAAGGGATTCAAGAGACTCTGAACGTGGCATGGTTGTTGGTGCCAGACGGGCTGCTCTGAGTATTTCAGAAACTGCTGATCTACTGGGATTTTCACGCAAAACCATCTCTATGGTTTATGGAGAATGGTCTGACAAAAGAGGAAATATCCAGTGAGCGGCAGTTCTGTGGGCGCAAATGCCTTGTTGATGCCAGAGGTCAGAGGAGAATGGCCAGACTGGTTCCAGCTGATAGAAAGGCAACAGTAACTCAAATAAGCACTCGATACAACCGAGCTCTGCAGAAGAGCATCTCTGAACACACAACACGGCCAACCTTGAGGCGGATGGGCTACAGCAGCAGAAGAGCACACCGGGTGCCGCTCCTGTCAGCTAAGAACAGGAAACTGAGACTACAATTCACACAGACTCACCAAAACTGGACAATAGAAGATTGGAGAAACGTTCCCTGCTCTGATGCGTCTCCATTTCTGCTGACACATTCGGGTGGTCGGGTCAGAATTTGGCATCCACAACATGAAAGCGTGCATCCATCCTGACTTGTATCAGCAGTTCAGGCTGGTGGTGGTGGTGTAATGGTGTGGGGGAGATTTTCTTTGGGTCCATTAGTACCAATTGAGCATCAACGCCACAGCCTACCTGAGTATTGCTGCTGACCATGTCCATCCCTTTATGAGCACAGTGTCTCCATCTTCTGATGGCTACTTCCAGCAGGATAACGCAGCATGTCATAAAGCTCAATCATCTCAGACTGGTTTCTTGAACATGACAATGAGTTCACTGTACTCAAATGGCCTCCACAGTCACCAGAGCTCAATCCAATAGAGCACCTTTGGCATCATCAATGTGCAGCTGACAAATCTGCAGCAACTGTGTGATGCTATCATGTCAATATGGAGCAAAATCTCTGAGGAATATTTCCAGTGTCTTGTTGAATCTACGCCACAAAGGATTAAGGCAGTTCTGAAGGCAAAAGGGGTCCAACCTGGTACTAGTAAGGTGTACCTAATAAAGTGGCCGGTGAGTGTATATGTTGCATATATGACATTTATTTTATATATGTAAAATCCAAATATGAACTTGCATGTCATGTAATTTGTATTTATCTCCATATATCAGATTTCTGTGTGGGAGGTTTCTCTGTGAGTGTCTCTGTTGTGTTTAATGAGCTGATGTTTGTTCAGATCCAGTAAAAGTGCACAGAACCAGAATCTTCTACTCCCTCAGATTAAGGCCAGGTTTTGGTGAACATGCAGTAACAGGCGCTGCAGAATTCTTGGCATCTGCAGGACTTGTGAAATCAAACCCAGACACTCGTGTTTTGTTGCTTTTTCTTTTACTCCTCTTTTCCTTGTAGGGTTTTCTGGAACGATCTCTACAGCAGATTTAGCCAGCGGTCTCAGACTCAACTAGATTAGATGACACTTCTGAAGCAAAGACACCATCAACAAACCAGGCATTTTTACAGGTGGTGTAAGAACAAATGCGTCTGGCAGGACTGCTCTAGCAGGTGCTTTTACCTGTTCGCTGGTCTAACTATTTTATTCTTAGCTTTTTGATATTACTTTAATATATAATTGTTATATAATTTAATGATAAGTGGTTCGCACTGTGGCCTCACAGCAGAAAGGTCGCTGGTTCGAGCCTCAGCTGGGTCAGTTGGTGTTTCTGTGTTGAGTTTGCATGTTCTCCCCGTGTTGGCGTGGGTTTCCTCCGGGTGCTCCAGTTTCCCCCACAGTCCAAACACATGCGCTATAGGGGAATTGATCAACTAAATTGGCTGTAGTGTGTGTGTGTGCGTGTGTTTTTGAGTGTGTGTGAGAATGAGTGTGTATGGGTGTTTCACAGTACTGGGTTGCAGCTGTGCATCAGCAGTGTAAAACATATGCTGGAATAGTTGGGGGTTCATTCCGCTGTGGCGACCTCTGATGAATAAAGGGACTAAGCTGAAGGAAAATTAATGAATTAATGAATTTAATAATACATATTAAAATAATTACACAGACTCTTTGTTTAAAACAATGATTACTTTAAAGATAAATCTATATAATCCTTAATATTAATAAGAGCACTGGATTTGGATAAATGCGTCTGCTAAATGACTAAATGTAAATGTACATTAAATGCATTGAGTTGATGTGAGAATTATGATATTTAACATTTGACAACAGAACATTTTTATTACCAAGTTATTTAAAACAACATAATATGTATAATAATAATAAATAAAAAATTAATAATAATACATTAAAATATAATCAAATATACAGTGCTCAGCGACTATAAGTTCACCCCTCACAGATCTCTCTTTTAAATCCATATTTTCTACAGGAAGCTCTGCAATACTATATTTGTGCATATGCATTAGATTAGTCAGTGCTGAAGCCAAATCTGGAGTTTATCTAACAAAATAACGGTCCAAAAACTAGAACAGCTAAATATACGTGTTATAGAAACTTATTAAATAAACATTTAAAAAAGAGAACAAGTTAAGAAAATAATTTTTTTTATTTAGTTTAAACTTTGTGGGTTTTAATTTTTTTTGCAATATTTTCCTTAAATTTAATTGTATTATCTTACGATTTCTGAATATGTTTGGTGACAAAAATATTATTTTAATAAATAGATCTGTTTAATAAATCCGTTTTGTTTAAATACACCAAAATGCACTGCCTATATTCACTGAGAAATGGAGGAAAATATTAATTTTCAAAATGGGCTGTACTCAATTTTGCTGAGCATTGTATATAATAATAATAATAATAATAATAATAATAATAATAATAATAATAATAATAATAATAATAAAAAAATGTTAATAGTGAATTAAATTAATTGTTAAAACATAATAAAATATATAAAAATGTAATAAAAATATAATGCAATGTAATAAACAATCATATACACACATGTTATTATATATGCTTATTACTATTGTAATAACTTATTATTATTAACATGCAAAATGATCATGTAATGTAATTTACTGTAATGTGTATTTATATGGTGCATTTATTGTGTATGGCCATACACCCAAAGCGCTTCACAATCATGAGGGGGATCTCTCCACACCACCATCAGTGTGCAGCATCCACTTGGATAATGTGACGGCAGCCACAGGACAATGACGCCAGTGCGCTCACCACACACCAGCTATAGGTGGAGTGGAGAGACAGTGATAGAGCCAATTCAGTGGATGAGGATGATTGGTAAGGGCCGATGGAGGGTCTTTGGCCAGGACACCAGGATTACACCCCTACTCTTTACCAGAAGTGCCATGGGATTTTTATTGACAACAGAGAGTCAGCACCTCGGTTTAACGTCTCATCCAAAAGACGGCGCCCACTGACAGTATAGTGTCCCCTTCACTTTTACTGGGGCATTAGGACTCACGCAGACCGCAGGTTAAGCGCCCCCTGCTGGCCTCACTAACACCACTTCCAGCAGCAACCTAGCTTTCCCATGTGGTCTCCCATCCAGGTACTAACCAGGCTCAACCCTGCTTAGCTTCAGTGAGTAACCGTTCTTTTGCTGCAGGGTCAATCATATGCACATATGCAATTTATTATATATGCATAAAATGTATTTACAATGCAAAAAATAAAGCATGCACTCAAACACACAGACATTATTTGTATGTATATGCATATTAATGTAGTCACAGCATCCCAAATAAATTATAGTATTATAGATATTGAACAAAAACGAAGGATTGGGGGTAAAAAAAGTTGCTGAAAGCATAATATGAAATTAAAGCAAAATATAGATTTTTGCCAATTTTTATATAGATATTAAAAAAAAAATCTGCATTTTAAAATTTTCAAAATACTTTTTTTTCTGTATGATGTACGAGTCTTTTTCCTCATGGGGACCATAAGGTTAAAATTTACTGGCATTGCTATACTCGTGGGTCCTCACAATGTGATGAATACAAGGCGTGCATACACACACTCACACACACTGTGTTTTCCAGCTATATCAGGCAGTCCTAATGAGCGGTCAGGAAGGAAACAGACTGTGAAGCAGATCCCCACAACCTCTGATTAACCAGCCTGTAAATCTGCCCTGACCAGATTACGCTTTCTTTGATCCACGCTGAAGTGGAAACTGTCATATGAGTCCAGCTCCAAAGAAGCTTACAGTCACACAACAACCAAAACTTTCCTGCTTTCAGTCTCTCAGGGGTCCACAGACACATTTACAGGGCCTTTACAACAATTACAAGTGAACTAAATGGTGTTCATCTGCTCACTTACTCATGCTGTTTTATCCTTCTATACAGTTGAAGCCAGAATTATGTCCTCCTGTTAAACTTCAATTCTTATATTTTTCCCCCAATTTCTAATCATAATAGTTTTAATAACTCATTTCTAATAACTGAATTATTTTCTCTTTGTCATGATGACAGCACATAATATTAGACTAGATATTCTTCAAGACACTAGTATTCAGCTTAAAGTGACATTTAAAGGCTTCACTAG